AATGCTAAACCAAAGAAATAAACCAACAATTGCTCATTCAAGTACCAAGCTCATGATCGAAGTATTAAACAAGCATAAGAAATATGAACTAGAACCATAAACATAAGATAAAATGATAAATAAACATGAATCCTTCAAAAACCCACAAACATTGTTAGCCAAAGTTAACCAAAATAGAGAGTTTAGCCACTCATGGCAATAGAATAACAATCACAAAAGTCTAATTGCATAAAGAAACTACCAATAACTTGGAAAGATGAAAAGAAATGAGCCTCAAGCTCCCAAAATCACCTTCTTCTGGTCTCCAATGGTGTAAAATCGAAGTGATAGCTGATAGATCCAATCCCCCAAGGTAATGGCAAGCCAAATGACCAAAATGCCCAAAACTAGGTAGTTGCGCGGGTACCTGCGCGACGGAAATTGCACCCGCGCAAGTGTTGCTGGAATGCTATTGGCTCATTTTTCCTCCACTAACCATCCCACTACCAAAGATTCCCTTGGTCCCCTCCATATCCCACATGATTCAAATTAACCAATCATCTTTTAGCTTTAAATATGGATGCTCCAAGCCCAAAATAACAATCCATGATCCATCTTCACAAGCCCACTTCATCCAAGCATTTAGCTTTTTAAGCCCAAATCTTCTTTGGTGGATCCGCCAAGCCCAAAAATGCATCGAAAGCCCACTAAGCCCAACTCCAGTCAAACCACAACCGCAATGAGCTCCAAAACCCTGCAAAATTCCTCATGCAAAATAAAAAGCCCCCGACACGATCCATGATAAAGAAAATAAAGAATATACAATGCAATACTAATAAAAAGAGCTAAAATTTAAAATAAACTAATAAAAATAAGGAAATAAAATAAGCTATCAGGTCACGATCATCGATTAATTCCATGTTGGTTATTTGTTCATGGTGATTGGGATCATCTGGTTTTTTGGAGGGGTCTTCTATAATCGGGATCAATATATGGGTTATAGGGATCCTAACTTATGGCGGGATCCTAAGGTAAGATCCTAGGTTAGCTAGTTCATCTTGCTCAATATTTTTTTCTCTAGAAACTTGGCTTAGGCTGAAAGCTTCGAATTTGGAGGCCGAATTTTTTGAGGATTTGGAGGTATAGTGCTAGACTTTCACCTTTTACTGCATAGGATCCATTAAAATGATTAGTTAATAAAAAGGAGTCAACGAATACCTAAAGATCCTTGATTTGAAGATCATTGGCTAGTTGTAATCCCATGATCAATGCTTCGTATTCAGCTTCGCTGTTGGTTGCATCGAATTCACAACTGACTGCCTGGGGCATGATGTCCCCCTGTGGCGATGTTAATATGATCCCTAGGCCTGTTCCTCTAAAGTTTGAGGATCCATAAGTGAAGAGCGTCCATCTTCCCATGTTTTCTTCTTTTTGGAGTTCCTTGTTTTCCAACTCTGCTTCAGGTTGTAGATCATCACTAAAATCAGCCACAAAGTCTGCTAGTGCTTGTGACTTTATTGTTGATATTGGTTCATATTTGATGTCATATGTGCTTAGCTTCACGAACCACTTTTCCATCCTATCTGACATCTCTGGTTTTCACATAACATTCTTGATGGGGTAATTAGTTCTCATATGTATAGTATGTGTTTCAAAATAGTGTTTTAAATTTTTGGAAGCAGTTACTAATGCAAGTAATATTTTTTCATGATGGGAATACCTTGTCTCAGGATCCAGGAGACTTTACTTACATAGTATATGGGATGTTGGTCCCCATTGAGATCCTTGGCTAAAACAACACTTACGACATTAGAAATATTATGAAAGGCAAAGGAGAAGTAGTTTCCCATCTAGTGGTTTCACCAGCAAGGGTGCACAACTTAAATAATTTTTATGTTCCTGAAAAGCATCTTCGTGCTCTTTAGTCCACTCAAATCTTTTGTTCTTCTTCAAGATGTCATAGAAAGGTTTACACCTCTCTGGGGATCTTGAGATGAACTTATTTAGAGCTGTTACTCTTCCTGTTACTCTCTGTATAACCTTTTGTCGAGGATGGGGATCTTAAATCGATGATGGCTTTTATTTGCTCTGGACTTGCTTATATTCCTCTTTTAGTCACCATGTATCCAAGGAACTTGCCTGATCTTATTCTAAAATGGCATTTGGAAGGATTCAGCTTCATGTTGTATTTGTCTAGTATGTTGAAGGCATCTTCAAGATCCTTGAGGTGATCTTCAACTTTCTTTGATTTGACCACCATGTGATGTCGCCTAATTTATCCTTGAACATTAGGTAACTAGCCTTTGGTATATTGCACCTGCATTTTTAAGACCAAATGGCATAACAGTATAGTAATATATACATGGTAGGGTTATGAATGCAGCATCCTTCTGGTCAGAAGGTTCCATTTGAATTTGTTGGAACCCTGCTGATGCATCCATGAACGTTAGCAGTTCATGGCCAGCTGTGGCAGCTATCATGGAATCTATGTGTGGCAAGGGTAAAGGATCCTTAGGGAAAGCCTTGTTAAGATTCGTATAATCCACACATACTCTCCATTTGCCATTCTTCTTTTGCACTACGACCACGTTGGCTAGCTACCTTGGGAACTTCACTTCCTTGATCATCCATGTTTTAAGAAGTTTTTCTACTTCTTCTTGGATGATCTGATTTCTTTCTAGTGCAAACTTCCTTCTTTTTTGGGGTATTGGTCTAAAAGAAGGATCAATGCTAGTTTATGAATTATAAAATTTGTGTATATACTTGTCATGTCCTCATGCTTCCAAGCGAACGTTTTGCTTCTATCTTTTAGGAACATTATTAGTTCTTGCTCGATATGCTCTGGTAATGAAGATCCTATGAGGACTTTGACTTCAGGATCCTCGAGGTTCAGGGGCACTTCCTTCACATCCTGTTCTCTTTGTTTCTAGCACACCACATGCCCCTTCTTTAATTGCTATGCTTATCGTGGTACCGTTGAAGGTTTCATTGTGGTCGTGTAGCACTCCTTAGATTCTTGTTGATCACTTGTTGTTAAGGGCAGGATCCCTGAATCATATTCAGGATCCTTCATATTTCTGAAGTCTCAGGAGCAGAGGCCGGTGTTGAGGATCCTATCTCGTGGCGGTTTCCTGAGGATCTTGTATTGTTAAAGTTCAGGATCTTGGTCTGCAAGATCGAAGGTGCTGCTTTTTGGGGTTTGTGGATCTCTCCCTCATTCTCTCCATTTCCTTGAGTACCGTCTTGTTGTCCTCCTCCTGCTGAGTGACTTGTCGTTCCAATCACTTCATCATAGCGAAGAGCTCGTTTTTGGAAATCAGTACAGGAGGATCCTGAAATTCTTGGGTAGCAACCGAAGAGGTGTTTTTCTTCGGTGCCTCAGAAGTTTTCTTGAGAGTTCCACATGGGGATGGAGGAAGGTATTCAGAGGAAATAGGAGGAATTGAGGAAGAGGATAAGGTCTGTTGGGTAGACATGATTCTCAAACGATTGTGAACATCACGGTCCCATGGTGTGCGTCAAATTGTTTTGGTCAAAAATCGATCAAGTGCAATTTGAAATTATATATATATATATATATAATATATATATATATATATATATATATATATATATATATATATATATATATATATATATATATATATATATATATATAGTGAGGTTCAATAGAGAACCATAATTAACCAAGGAACCAATCTTTTTTTCAACTTTTAGAACTTATTTTTTATCAAAAAAAAAACTAAAAATACAGAAATTCATAATTTTTTATCATTTTTCCAATAATATCAAATTCGATAATGTGAATCTAAATTCACATGGTGAATCCGAAAAAATATATTTAATATTCACAATGTTAACTTATGAATTTAGATATTTTTAGTTTTTTTTTTCGATAAAGAATAAGCTCTAGAACTTGAAAAAATTAGGTGGTTCCTTGGAGAACCAATAATTATGGTTCTCTATTTAACTTTTATATATATATATATATATATATATATATATATATATATATCTATATATATATATATAGATACTTTACCAAAAATGTTAAAATAATCTCATAAAAGTACATTATATATCTTATCTTAAATATTTATAAGAAAATAATAGTTACTAATTTATCTATTTATGATATAGTGAGCATTACAAACTATAAGGTAAATAGTTGAAGTGTATGAAAATTTTAAAGTGTATCTCATTAAATAGTATTTGAAAAAACTTATATAACTATTAACACTTAATAAAAATATTTTTAAATTATATCAGTAAAACTTTTTTTTTTGATACATAAGAAGGCAAGGCAGTTGTTTAAGGTTGTCAAAAGTTTGTCACTTTTCCAATGTATAACATGTTGAATCGATTTTTGGTTTTCATATTAATATTCGAAATATTTGCTCTTAAAATGCTTATGTAATTTTAGAAATACAAACGATAAATATAATAAAGACAAAATTAGATAAATTGTCATTTTCAAAAAGTACAATGAAAGGTCCTCAATATAATATTTATTATACAAAAAAGCTTTATAGTTTCGGTCAATATATAAACGGTTATTTTACAAAACACTTAGGTTGTTAATAAATGACAAAGTTAAGTTTTCAAAATAAATTACACAATCAACTATACTAAAAATATAATTTAGTCTATACTTTAAAAGATACAAAGTTGGTGTGTGCATTGATGATTGATCGTACGTATGTTCTGTTTTTCTTTGAAATATTAATAGTTAAGTGGATAACTATAAATGATGATCAGGTATCAAAAAGATGAAATATTCTGAACTTGAAAGTATTAACTGACAATTAATTCAAACAAGAAGGTGGGTACGTATGTTCTATTTTTCTTTGAAATATTAATAGTTAAGTGGATAACTATAAATGATGATCAGGTATCAAAAAGATGAAATATTCTGAACTTGAAGGTATTAACTGACAACTAATTCAAACAAGAAGGTGGGTGGTTGTAACTAATATGCTCATTCACATTTAAAACCTTTATAAAAGGATACAAAGTTGAAAGCAATAAAGAAAGACAAGCTACAAAAATGACTATGGAAACAAAGATACAAAGTTGAAGCAATAAAGAAAGGCAAGCTACAAAAATGACCATGGAGACAGACGAGCCATTGACGCCGGCCGGACGGTTGTTTATCCAGCCGGAAACGAACATAGTCGTCCTATGCTGCTTAGGAACTAAACAACCACTTCGAATAGAGGCCATAAAATCCGTTATAGCAGATTCAATGTTAGTGAAACACCCAAGGTTATCTAGTGTCTTGATCGTCGACAAAAATGGTCGAGAGTACTGGAGAAAAACAGAGATCGACTTAGATCGTCACGTCGTAGTCCGTCATGACCCCGTTGAAGAAGCCACTGACGACGAGGACGCAGCAAATCTCTACATGGCTGATCTTGCTGTGTCAACCCCACTTGCCACTGACAAGCCTTTATGGGAACTCCATCTATTGACTTCTCATAAATGCGCTGTGGTTCGTGCTCATCACGCGCTCGGAGATGGGATCTCCATGTTATCGTTTTTTATGGCAATGTGTCGGAAAGCAGATGATCCGGAGACAATGCCCAATATGAATTATGTTGTTGACCCAAGAAACAAACATAGCGGGGAAGAAGCCATTGGATGGATATTGTGGAGGTTGTTGAAGGTGATATGGCTCACGTTGGTGTTTGTTTTTGATTTCATAGCAAGAGTTTTGTGGGTTCGAGATGAGACAACAGTGATCAGTGGCGGAGCTGGGGTAGAGCTATGGCCAAGGAAATTGGTGACTGCAAAATTTTTGATTGACGATATGAAACTCGTCAAGAAATCCATACCTAAAACAGTAAGTTGGCTACATGAAGTTTTTAGTGTGTTTTTTCTTTGTTTATATATATATATATATATATATATATATATATATATATATATATACTTTTATTTGAAAGGATTTTGTGTTGTTTGATATTGTTTATTTGAAGTGTTTATTGACTTCTTTCGCATTTTCGCTATGCCACTGGTAATAAAACATTTTTAATGTTCGGATAAGAAGATTTTACAAACACTTATTTCATTTTGAAGCCCGATAAATTAATTCTAACCTTTTTTTTAACTTCCAATTTAACATTGAATAATTAATAAACATTTTTACAAATAAACATAAGTTATTTTAAAGAAGCAATTCCAAACACCCATAAAACATACATTATAAGCCTATAAAACAATCAATATGATTTTTTTAAAAAAAAGGAAAAATAAACGCAATTGTTTTTGTGAATTTTAGGATCCAATTAAGAAAAATGTTTATAAGTTGAATATCTCGATTAAAATATTGTTGATATTTTGAATATATGAATGTAGTAATATTCTATAAAAAAAGGTATTATATATAATTATATTATTTTGTATTGTATTCTAAATAGAATATTGTTAAGATTTCTAAAACTGTATATATAGTAATATTTGATAAAAATATAACTTATAATTTATAATTATATTGCTATAAATAATTTTCAAACTATAATATATAACAAGAGAGGTGATTTAACAAAAAAAAGATTTGGATGTTAGAATTGATATATATATATATATATATATATATATATATATATCAATATATATATATATATATATATATATATATATATATATATATATATATAATTTGATACTTTACCAAAATATGTTAAAATGATCTCATAAAAGTACATTACATATCTTATCTTTTAGAAAGTTAATTATTTATAAGGAAATAATAGTTACAACTTTATATGTTTATGAGATAATAAGGTAAATAGTCGAAGTCTGAGAAAAGTTTAAATTGTATCTCATTAAATAGTATTTAAAATACTTAACTACTAATATATAAAAAAAATGTTGTTAAATTATATAAAACTTTTTTTATACATAAGAAGGCAAGGCAGTAGTTTAAGTTTGACAAAAGTTTGGCACTTTTCAAATGTATAACATGTTTAATCGATTTTTGGTTTTCCTATTAATATTCAAAAATTTTGCTCTTCATATATTTGTGTAATTTTAGAAATACAAAACGATAAATATAACAAAGACAAAATTAGATAAATAGTCATTTTCAAAAAGTACAATGAAAGGTCCTCATTATACTATTTTTGATACAAACAACCTTTATAGTTTCAATTTCTCGTTAGGGCTAACTTTATTAGAAAAATAAACAAAAAGATTTTGTTTTATCTTTTTTGATGCTTTTATTTTATACATTTCTTGTAATTTTTTAGTTGTTATTTATTTATTAAAAGTCTACCTAACCCATCCCCAAATAGGCATCCACACAGTTATCTGCCGCGACAACCCAAAAAGTTTAGACGAACCGGTTCGATCAAATCCAACCAATTAAATTTAAGTTGATTTTGATTTTATAATATATGAATTTATATAGTCTACACTATTCAGATTCGATCCAACTAAATTACAAATCAATTGGATCAGTTTCAAAAAGCAAGACATTTTTTGATCCATTTATTGAATTTAAATTAATTTTGGTTTTTTAATACATGAATTGAAATAGTCTAAATTAAATTCAGATGTGATCCAACTAAATTACAAATAGGTTGTATTGGTTTTTACAACTCCGTTTTCAAAAGACAAAACATTATATATATATATATATATATATATATATATATATATATATATATATATATAGATTCTGATTCCGGTGGTGACTCTTTTTAAAATGAAAACCCGTGAGGACATCTTAAAAAAATTGAAAAAAAAATCTAAAAAAATACAAATCATAAAATCGAGCATAGTACTATATCCGGGAGAAAAAAAATTGGAAATTTTGTTTTTTGGATCATGAAAATGATCCATGCTTCAATTTTAATGATACAAAAAAAATTCCAAATTTTTTTCTCTCCGATATAGTACTATGCTCGATTTTATGATTTGTATTTTTTTAGAATTTTTTTTAATTTTTTATGGTATCCTGACGAGTACTCATTTTAAAAAGAGTCATCACCCGATCCTGTTTCTATGTGTGTATATATATATATAACTTGATTATTATTTTTTTAGAAAGGTTTATACACTGTGCTACTCCTAAGTCTACGACTTATGTTAAAGACGGGACTAAAACCCTCAACTTTTAGCTGATGGACACTTATCCGTCAAGGTGTCAACTCTTGATACCGTTAGGCCGGAGGTTTTTGGTAACTTGATTATTATTATATTAGTTAAATCTATAAAGAACTTAAAAAAACTGTTTGGTTGTGAATTAAATTTTTTAGACAACTACTAAAAAATATTATAGTTCAATATTTGGTAAGGACCAAACTGTGCATGTTTTTTAAACCACAATGAGTATTTGTGCAAAAAAAACACTCATAAGTCATAAGGACTATTTGTGGTGTTTTTTCCAACCATTAGAACATATTATGTAATCTTTTTTATGATAAACATAGTCTAAAACATATCTTTAGCATATCAATTCTAAACTTGTTAATAATTTTTATAATGTTTTTATACACATAATACAATCACGCAGACAATAAACGACGTTTTGTTCGGGGTAATATCATTTGGGCTATCAAAATACCTGGACACACGATCACCAAAATGTAAGTATCTTTGACTTGCATATGTTTATCATACTTTAAAGAAGATGTAAAGATGATCATAATTTAAACCATATATATTATAGCTTTACATGAAGGTTTGAGAATGACCGGATTAGCCATGGTCAATTTACGACCTCAAGCAGGACATCAGGTTAATCCTCTTAACTTTGTTTTTTGGATTATTTCATTTCAGCTACTATTTTTAAACTTTAATTTACTTGTTAGATCCATCATGAATGAAATATAATATGGCCATATGGATATATGTACATTACTTAAAATTAACATGAGTATAGCATTTTAATTTTATATTGAAAAGTATTTTTCTATAGGATCTGATTAAAATGATGCAAGATAAATCGATGGGATGGGGGAACAAATTCGGAATGTTGTTGTTACCCGCATACTACTATAGTAGTAGATCGGATCCATTGGAGTATTTGAGGAGGGCAAAAACCATGATTGACCAGAAAAAGTCTTCTTTAGAGAGTTTCTTTTCCTACAAATTTGGGTACTTGATCATGTCCATCATGGGTGCAAAGGTGATTTCTTTTCAGATTTTGTATTAATATTACATAAATTTTTATCTTAAATTTTACTTATATATAAAAGACAGGCACTTTTTCACTTTTGGATCAGGTAATATGATAGATATAAATCCAAATATTCTTTTATATAGAATATGTAGTAATATATTTGCTTTAAGACATGTACCTATGCCAAACTATTTTGCTCAACATTTTTCTTATAACATATTTGTGTTTGTACTTCATTTTTTCAGTATGCAAGTCTACTGAATTACAAAATTCTATGTAACACGACGTTCACAATTTCGAACATGGTTGGTCCAAAAGAGAAAGTTATGTTTGCCGACCATCCAGTGGACTACATGAAAACGACTTCAACAAGTTTACCACATGTATACTTCTTCAACTTTACCTTATAGATATGTGCTTCCATGGCGGTTTTACTATGTAAAAAGTGGGGTGTATCATGTATGAACCCCATTTACAAATGGACCCCACCCGATATTCTAGTAAAAAAGAAATTCTTTTATAAAAAATGTATGCTTTGTCCTACACGATAGACCCCAGTTACCTACACTACATGTATTTATAAGCCTGAAAGTTTGACCCATTTTCTTCATTAATATTATGTTGACAGGGGATTACAATGCACATGGTGAGCTACGCAGGAACGGCTTACATGCAGCTTCTAGTGGCAAAAGATCTTGTACCTGACCCTGAAGTATTAGCCAAATGCTTGGAAGATGCATTGCTTGAAATGAAAGAAGCTGCGGTGGCCACGATTAAAAATAAGAAACCAAGTAAAGAGGAACAAATTGATAAAATATAAAAGATAATAATCACAAAAGCCATTTTGAGTTTGGAATTATTCATTTGTCATTTTAAACTTCTTTTTCTTTGGTTTGGTTTTGTGTGAAGTTATTTGGGGAGGGGCAATGTTCTGATTCAACATATATGTGAAGTTTTATATGAACTATCTCGAAGTTTTCCTCTATTTTTCCATATAAATTGGTGATTTGTTGTTGTCCTTAGTTTGTTTATATGGGTTACGCGGTATGATCATGAAGCTATTTAGTGATCATACAAATAGGATGAATTCCATACACTGTAACGATAACATCTGTTATTACTTATTAATTGCAAATGTTAAGTCTAGTATGCCTTAGATCTAGAATGGGAGGTAAATCAACTAATCACCAACATTGTTTAAGCAATCACCAAGGTTGGCTAGTGGTGATCATTTAGGGATAAACACTCCAAAAAGGGAGTGTTTATATATTCACATTACACAAACTTCAACCTTAAGGTGGAATTCCGTATTAAAAAAAAAAAAAAAAAATCACTTTAGCTTATCAAATGACAAAATGCTATGTCTAGGATACATTCAAGTTCCTTCACAAAATGTAGGGAACTAGAGAATTGACTAGTAGTTGTGCAATCAATTACATCCACTGATCTGATTAAAAAAAGAACTGGTGGTATTGTTGAGATTAAATGTGGATTAGTTAAGAAAAAACATATGTTTTTCTCATAAACGACGGTAGATTAGGAAGATAAAATATAATTAGGCTTCCAAATCGTTTACCGTTGCGAGACTTCGCAATTCAATCTATTCTAACCTAATGAAGAAGGGTGATAATACGTAAGAGCTGGAGAATTTTGTTCGTCGTGGAAGAAAGTCATCCAAGATGGTTGAAGTCAAAATCTCTATTTCCTAAGTACGCGTGAACATCCGTCTAAGTTATAAAATAAAGTATGATATCTTAACAACGTTATTATTAAAGTTCATTCTTTCAAAATTCATAAAAAAACGTAATGAACAACTTTGTTATTTAATTTTTTATTTTAAGTATTTTTACTCATAAAAATCTCCTATTGAATATAATTGCATACATTTAAATATTTCAATAAAGGTAGTATGAACATCCGAGATTATTAGTAAAGTAGTCTAAGCTAGCCTCACGGTATTTTCTTCCCTTGAGCTCGTCATGGAATGCATAACGTTGGTTTGCCATGTTTCCCAAGATGGTCTTCATTTTCAACAATTCTTTGTACTAATATCAAAATAGAACACTTTTAAGGTTTCATCATGATCATAACCGATCCAATAAAATCATTAACGAAGTGCATATATAATGTTATATAAGGCATTGAATTGATTTTTCGCTTTTTAATATCAAAATAGAACACTTTTAAGGTTTCATCATGATCATAACCGATCCAATAAAATCCTTAAGTACGTGCATATATAATGTTATATAAGGCATTGAATTGATTTTTCGCTTTTATCACCAATGTAACCATTATTAGTTACCTTCGCACCGAGTAAATTGACACTACTAGAAAATAGGGTATTACCGACAAAATTTTAGCGACGGAAAAATCCGTCGGAAACAGAGACGGAATACCGACAAATTAAGAAAACTTAATTATATGGATTTTAATGACGAATTTTGCGAAGGTTTAGCAACACTATACATGTTTGTTGGTAATCCATTAAAATTTACCGACGCTTTACCAAAGGAAATCAGCAATTTTCATTCCGTCGGAAAATCTGTTAGTGAAATTTGTTTCTTTTTTTTTAAATAGTTGGGGCAATTTTATAAATATACGAATGTTAAAGGGTGTTCCTCGACAAATCTGAACTCTGAACTAAAAAAAAACATCATCTACGGATTTTGCCCTACTCTCACTTTCCCTCTTCTCCGGCCACTGCCTCCACCATCAGCGCCAGTAACAAAGCCCTCCAGCTCCTCCAAAGTCGTCGACGCAACATGTTTTTTCCCTCCCGGTTTGACCTGCAACCCACCATATTATCAAAGTAAAAAGAGAAAGAAATGAAAGATGAAGTCTTCGTTGCTTCATTCATCTATAAAACTAGTTAATATATACAAAGACTAAGCTACGCATTAGAAGCTAACATAAGCCTAACTGAATACTAACAGCTCTAGTTAACTTACTTAACCATGATTAGAAAAACTAACTACTCTCTAATAAAACATTAACTTCCATAACGAAAACAATTAGTCAATATCCCCCCTCAAGGTGGACTTTGAAAAATATTGTTCAAAGCCATCTTGACAGTAATCGAAATCATTTTGTGTCTAGGCAATGGCTTGGTAAAAATATCGGCCAAATGATGCAAAGAACAAATGGGCATAAGTTTGATGGTTTTATCCAATATCTTATCACGGATAAAATGGCAATCAAATTCTATATGTTTCATCCTTTCGTGAAATGTAGGATTCGAAGCAAGTTGGATTGTAGATTGATTATCGCAAAAGACCAAAGTGGGTTCTTATTGATAAACACCAAAATTGGATAACAAATGATGTAACCATATGATTTCAGTGGTAGCCACAACAATAGATCTATATTCTACATAGATAGATGATCAGGAGACAATGGTTTGCTTTTTTTATTCGAAGAAACCATGGAATCCCCAATGAAGACACAGAACCCTGTAACATATCGTCGTGTATCTCTTCATCCAGCCCACTCAGAATCAGAAAAAGCTCGAATATTTAAAGATGATTTTGAAGATAAGAACAATCCTTGACCTGGATTGAGCTTTAATAACTTCAAAAGATGATTGGCAGCTTGTAAATCAGGGATTCGTGGATTTGTGACAAACTGGATCAAACGATTGACATCATATGTGATGTCAGGTCGTGTAATGGTTATATACATCAAATGAACAATGAGTCGTCGATAACGAGTTGGATCAACTAAAGGTACACCTTCAAAGTTTGAAGTTTTACAAGCCGAATCCATCGGATATTGAACAGGTTTTGCCACTAAAAGACCAGTGTCTTCCAATAGTTGTAACACATATTATCGGTGTGATATGAATATGCCCTCGAAAGATCTTGCAATTTCTAAACCAAGAAAATGTTGCAATTTGCCAAGATCCTTAAGTTTGAATTCCTTACTTCAATTTTCTTTTATTGTATTGATTTCAGTGATTGAGGCACCTTTCAACACAATGTCATCCATGTATAAAAGTAAAGCAACATACGTTTTCCCTTCACCTTTATAGAAAAGTGAATAGTCAGATTTAGATTGAGTAAATCCTTGAGAGAATAAGAATGATGAAAATTTGGCATATCAATGGCGAGATGCCTATATCAATCCATATAACGAATTTTGTAGTTTACACACCAAATTTTCACTATTAAATTTATCAGAATGATGACCATAGCCTTGAGGTAGCTGCATGTAGACTTCTTGTAACATCCTGTTTCCTGACATTTCTGAGCCATGGACTGGAAGTCGATTGTGTAAGGTTTTGGGCCTTAAGGAGGCAAAGTTTAGTCTTTGTGGAAGAAGGTAATGGTAGTTAAGATATTTTACCCTTGAATTGTGTTCTGGGCCGAATGATAGAAAGGGAAAAGTCATAGGCCGGGTCCTTGCATGCAATATGGATTTTTGTTCAAGAAGTTATTAGTCCAAGATATTTAGGTAATGTTTTAGAGCTCTTCAACGCCTTTCCGTGGATATAAAGAACGTCGAAAACGAAGTTAGAACGAAGAAGTTATGCCCGTTTGAAGTTACGACGGTTTTGGGTTGAGCCGCATATGATAACTTATTTTATTTCCTTATTTTTATTAGTTTATTTTAGTATTTTTAGCTCTTTTTATTAGTATTGCATTGTATATTCTTTATTTTCTTTATCATGGATCGTTTCGGGTACTTTCTATTTTGCATGAGATATTTTGTAGGGTTTTGGAGCTCATTGCGGTTGCGGTTTGACTGGAGTTGGGCTTAGTGGGCTTCTCGATGCATTATTGGGCTTTACGGATCCATCAAATGAGATTTGGGCTTAAAAAGTTGAAGATTTGGATGAAGTGGGCTTTTGAAGATGGGTCATGGATTGTTATTTTGGGCTTGGAGCATTCATATTTGAAGCTAAAAGATGATTGGTTAATTTGAATCATGTGGGATATGGAGGGGACCAAGGGAATCTTGGGTAGTGGGATGGTTAGTGGAGGAAAAATGAGCCAATAGCATTCCAGCAATATTTGCGCGGGTGGATTCTCACGTGCGCGGGTACCCGCGCAACTGCCCAGTTTTGGGCATTTTGGTCATTTGGCTTACCATTTACTTGGGGGGTTGGATCTTTCAGCAAGAACTTCGATTTTACACCATCGGAGACCAGGAGAAGGCGATTTTGAAGCTCAAGACTCATTTCTTTTCATCTTTCCAAGTTATTGGTAGTTTCTTTATGCAATTAGACATTTGTGATTGTTGTTCTATTGCCATGAGTGGCTAAACTCTCTATTTTGGTATACCTTGGCTAAAACCTCTGAATTTTTGTGGGTTTTTGAAGGATTTATGCTTATTTATCATTTATCTTATGTCTATGATTCTAGTTCATATTTCCTATGCTTGTTTAGTGCTTTGATCATGAGCTTGGTACTTTAATAAGAAATTGTTGGTTTATTTCTTTGGTTTAGCATTGAATCATTGAATTTACTTAGAACAAGGGCTTTATGATGGTAGAAATCACCTCTAGCTTATGAATCATAACTCCTTTATGGATGTGTAAGCATTGACATCCTCTAGGAATTGGGGATTTCTTCATTCTTAAGGCTAATCAACTTCTTGGATTCAATTGCTTCAATTGGATCCTTGATTTTGATTAAGAAGGTGAGTTGTGGGCTTCCCCAACCTCCATACTACCTATGAGAAATCTTGGCATATCATGCTTCATGATTGCTATAACCAATTTGGGGTGAATGATAAGCTTCATGTTAAATCCTAATGATAAACACACAAATGTTCATTGTGTTGAATTGCCTTGGTTTACCAATTCTCTCCAATATTTGAGCATCTCACTTTCTTGCTTAATTGCAAGTTTTTAGTTATTCAAGTCTTTTAGTTTTCAAGCAATCATAACACCCCCCCCCCTTTAGTTTAATTGTAGTTAGTTAGTTTATTTACACTAGTT